ATTGCAGACTCCTGGGTTTAAATTGCCCTGCACGTCAATGGCTGGGGGTGTTGCACCTATAGAGAGACATTTTTTTAGGACACACAGAGAGACTTTTCATTGCCATTTGTGGTGTGAATTAATCCACACATAACTTGTGGATACGATTCCACGTCGATATAGACTAGTCCTGACTCCTGGAAGGGCACCTTTCATGCGCCACGGAAAGATGATGGTGTAATCTAGTTTTCGCTTTGCTCAGCAAACTTTTGTGTGGACGAACTGAGGAAATCCTTGTCCAGCAAACTTTTGTGATTGATGAGCCTAATGAGGAGTGTCATACTTGTGCAAGACATGTTATTCTCTCTTCAGGAAGGCTTGTTATGGTAATTTCGATTAAGTAAAATAGGTGTAAGAAATGAAAATGCAAGGGCACAAAAGTCCATCCCTAAAGGTTGCCTCAGTCAACCAAATGCCCTTAATTACCAGCTAACTAAGTCAGTCAACAAAAATTCCATTGCCTTTGCTAATAACTAATGGTAAGAAGAAAGGGCAAGAAACTAAGTAAGTTGGAAATAAAAGGAAGTGAGATTACTCGCTTTTTTCTCGACGTGCCTTCAAAATGAACTAATTAAGTAAGCTGGAAATAAAGTTAGCAACAATTGAATGTATTACCTTCAAAAGGCGGGCCGCAGTTTGGACAGCACCTTGACGAATTGCATACAGCTAGCTGAAAGCTCAGGATCTTGACTAGAAAGTTTCCTCCCAGGCCATAGTCGTCCTTTTAACTGTGATGGAGCAGCTAGCAGCCGTAGCCTCAGAAGATTGACTAGAAAATTTGTTCCCACAGCAGGAAAATATCAGCTCACCTGTCACTATTAAACAGGTTCCTGATTGGCGTCGGAACCAACACAAAAAGCAAAAGAGAGAGCTAACATCAAGCATTGAAATTTCTTGCAGCATTCTTCCAAGATGGGGAACAGCACCGCTGACCTGACCTGATTGGCGCGGGAGGCTGGCTAGGCTTGCTCACATCGTCAGCTGTCCTGAGAACCAGTCTAGGCCTCACGGCCATTTCGTCGAACAACACCCAGGCTGGGTACCCGTGTTGGCCTCACAGCCATTTCATCGAACAATTTCTGGGCACCAGTGCGGCGCAACCTTCTGCCCAGCATGGTGGCCTCATGGAGAGAGAGAATAAGTGACAAACGTCAGAGGACAGAAGACAGTGGCCATGACGAAATTTGAGCTGAGGGCTTGACCTGTGACGCACTGTATAGTGAGAATCGCGGTGTAGCAATGATGGTGTGGTGCAGAGACAAAACAGAGCCGCTGAAATTACTTGCAGCTGCCAAAATTAGGGGCGAGGCGACTATGCCTCAGACGACTGTTGGCATGTTCAGACACCTTTTTTTTCCTTTTCCATCGGATTATCATCCAACGGTGGAAACAAGCTCCAGATTGCTCAAACCCAGCCTAATTTTCTGTAAACCAAAACAAAACAGCAATAAAATAATATTAATTAATTAATTAAAACAGAAGTTTTTCTAAAATAGAATGAATTAATACATTTGACTTTCTTTTGAAGACGCTCCATCAACCCTCCAATTCCACGTTGATCTTTTCTTGTACCATAGAAAACATATTTTTTTTTAGAAAAGGAGGCATATGCCCGACTTTAGCGAACCAAACCCCTTTAGGTTTTACAAGTTCGAGAGAGAACAAATAAAAAGGATCCGGCTCAACAACCACACGAACACATGCACATGATACAAGCCCCGACATGGGGCTTAAGGCTCAAAAGCCGGACAGACCATCCCCAGGACTGTGCCTCTTCTTCGGTTGTAAGAAATGGAAATACAAGGGCATAAAACTACATCTGAAAAGGTCGCCTCAGCCAACCAAATGCCCTTATCAATTTCTAAATTTTACTATCTATTTATGAACTGAGGGAGTGCTAGAGCTGACAACTCTACAGAATCTCTGTAGAAATCGTTGAAATCAAAAGGCCTTACAAAGACAATGCTGGACGCTTCTTCCCAGACAGAAGAGCACTCTGTTCCACCACACCTGGAGCACCATCCCCATTTGGAACAAAATGAACAAATGAAGTGTAAGGCGGCATCCTTGATTCCCATGAAACCACATTAAAATCCCCTTGTGGCCGAAGCCCGGGATCCATCACCAGATCCCCAAGCCTCACCCTCGGCAGTGCTTCCCTCTCCGCCGCAACCTCAGTGCCGCTGCTGCCACGAGCACGGGAAGGCACGACGCGAAGTGGAGGAGCACCAGGATGCAAGACAAAGTCAGTCACATCTACCTGGTGGCGTCTCTGGAGGAGGTCCTTCGGGTGCTCCCCAAACATGGAGAAGTTCCTCTCGACTAGCCTTCTCAGCCTGCTCAGCACACAGAGCCAGAAATGGACGCTCAGGTTCCTCCTCATCACGTCCGCCAAGATATTTGTGGCGACGAGCGACCACTCCGACCGCAACTCTCTGGCAAATTCGTCTGCTATCCGCGCTAGCCGCGGGTGCTGCACCGGGTCCGCGCTCCCAAACGCGAGTGTCTTGAAGAGGTAGCTGAACTCCTCGTACGATAGGCTGTTGAGGAAGATTGGCTCAACGGTTCCAAGTCGCTCCAAACTTTTAAGCCGGCTGATAATGATCACCTTGCTTCCATCGTCCATGCTTGTTGCTATGGTTGAACGGAATTTAGCCCAATCCTCCTCGTCGACTTCTGCAACAAGCTCGACAACCGTCAGTATCTTTCCTGACATGATACCACCATGGTCTGCGATTCTACAGAAGGAATCTCCATTCAGGTGCAGAATCGAAGAGAAGTGTGAGCTGACCCTCTCGTCCTTGCATATATGGGCGACCAGGGTCCTCTTCCCGACCACTGGACCGCCGATGACTGGGAGAACAGCCGGAGCGTCACCAGGAGAGCCATGCTGCAACACAAAGTTCAGGAGCTTCTGCTTCTCGGCGTAGCGTCCGAACATGATGTTGTCGCTGTAAAGGTACGAGTCGTAAGGCCTACGCAGCATACGATCGCATCCGCCCAAGAGAACAACAAGCTCCATCATGCCGGTGATGACATCCTCCAAGCTCTCCACCTCGCCTTGCAAGTCGACAAGGTACATCGACTTGTTCTTCTTAGCGCTGCCATGAACCGTGCGGAGACATTTAGGAGGAGATGAGTTGCGAACTCCCCCCTCCTCCATGGAAGTAGTCTCTGTCTCTTCGAGTGACATGTACCCGAAGGCCCCTAGTGCCCAGTAGCCTCGGTACATGGCGTCCGTGAGCATGCTGAGCTGCGCCAGCATCCCGGGGTTGGTGATGTATCGGCCATCTGCCTCCTGGACGACCGTGCGGGCTCGCAGGAGCAGCCGCTGCAGCTTCTTCACCTGCTTCTCTTCTGACTGTGCTGAGCGGCTAGAGTGGAGGTACCTGTCGGCGACGAAGGAGACGAATCGGCTCACGAGTTCACCAGCTACTGCAGATATGGCAAGCTCCATCTTCAGTTCCTTAGATCAAAAGGGTGCTAATAACTAGGGAGTCCAAGAGAGGGCAGGAGGCGGTGGACATTGCAGAGTGCTGGTTATGTGCTGCCCTTGCACACAGAGTGACTTTTCATTGCCGACAGGGAAAGGGCACGCCAGTTGTGGTGTGAATTACTCCACCTATAGCTTGGGAACACAATTCCACACGGATAGACACTAATCCTGGCTCCTAGAAGGGCACCTCATATAATATTTGCATGCGCCACGGAAAAATCATGGTGAATTAATTTGAGTCTTCGCTTTGCTCAACAAGTCTGTACTCTGTGTAGTAGAGACGAACTGGGGAACTCCTTGTTCAGCAAACTTTTAAAGTTTTAATACAGCTTCCTTTGTTCACACAGCAAGAAGAATATCCGCACAATCCTTACTAGTGCAGCACACAAAGTTTTCAACCTGGAACTAGAAAGGGCACTGCAAGAATTAGAGGCTGCTGTTGTGGATGCAAGCGCATCTCCCGTAAGACCCTATGACATGTATCTTTACATCGACAACTTCATGTTTGGTAGGCACGTCAAGAAGCAGCAGATCATGAGATTCTTGCTGCAGCACGACACCCCTGGTTCTCCGGGTGTGCTTGCAGTGGTAACGCCGGAGTCGGGAAGAAAACTCTTATCGCCAATGTATGCGATGATGAGAGGGTGCGGTCTCACTTTTCTATGATTTTGTACCTGAATGGAGATGACCTTTTCAGAGAGACAAATCACGAAAGACTGCCAAGGAGGACACTGGTAGTCATTGAGTTTGGTTCAGACGTAGATGAAGATGACTGGACAACGTCTACCATTCCATCATGAACATGGACAGAGGAAGCAAGGTGATAATCTTGGGTTGAAGCTCAGGCTTGGAGAAATTTGGAACCGTCAAGCATGTTTCTCTGAACTCCCTGGTTCGAAGAGTACATGTACCTGTTCAAGACACTCGCATTCGGAAGCGCGAACCCGGCAGACCACCCACGATTAGCAGCGATGTTGGAAGAGTTCACCATGGTGTTGGGAGGGTCACTCATCTCAGCAAACGTGCTCGCGGAAGTACTGAGGAAAAACCTGAGTGCCTATTTCTTGCTGTACAGGTTGAACTGTGCCAAGGACTCTGCCAATAAGAAACATCTCTTGTTTTGGCGCGCAATAAGGAATTGCTATGTGACTCGTCCACACTATTTATTTTCACTTCTAACAAACGTTTTTGCACAATCCTTACTAGTGCAGCACACAAGGTTTTCAACCTGGAACTAGAAAGGGCACTGCAAGACTGGGAGGCTGGTGTTGCTAACATGGCGGATGCGAGTGCATCTCCTGTAAACCCTATGACATGTATCTTTACATTGACAACTTCATGTTTGGTAGGCACGTCGAGAAGCAGCAGATCATGAGATTCTTGCTGCCAGGGTGCTGGCAGTCATTGGCAACGCCGGAATCGGGAAGAAACTCTTATCAACCATGTATGCAATGATGAGAGTGTGCGGTCTCACTTTTCTATGATTTTGCACCTGAATGGAGATGACCTTTTCAGAGAGACGGATCACCAAAGACTGCCAGGGAGGACACTGGTAGTTATTGGGTGGCAATATGGAAGTTTTAATTTGTCTAGACCATCAGAACGTGTTGGTCTCTCTTCAGGAATGCTTGCTATGCCAATATATGGCCTGAATAAAATGGGTATAAGAAATGAAAATGCCAGTGCATAGAAGTCCATCAGAAAATGGTTAGTCCAGCCAACCAAATGCCACTAATTACCAACTAACCAAGTGAGAGCACATGTGCTAAGCAAGTCAGGCAACAAAAGTTGTATGGCGTACGTTGCTACTTGCCAGTTTCTAGCCGTATCTAATCAGCAGAGAGAACCAACGCAAGAACACAAAATTAGCCGCAGCATTCTTGCAAGACGGGGAACCGTACCGTATGCGGACCTCGGTGGCGGTGCAGGCCAGCAGGCTCACAGCGTCGGCTCTGGCCTCAGGGTCATTTCATCGAACACCTTCGGAGCGCCAGACCAGAGCGCCGCCACCTTCCCCCCAGCATCCTGCCTGGCTGAAGAGAGAATGAAGGTGTACCGGCTCGGACGCCTCAATCTTGTGGTGCGCTCTCTCGCCGCGACGCCGATGATCTACGCCTTCTCCGCACCGGCGTTCGCCCTGTTCGACGATCTTCGCCGGGAGACTTCGTTCGGGTCGGCAGAGAGAGTGAACGCACGTCTAACATATTCTTGTCATCAAGCGTTTTATCGATTTCTCTGCAGATCGATGCGTAAACTAATGGTTTATTTCTTCAGGGTTTTTTTTTCTCGGGTAAATTTCTCCTTTACCCTTTGTCGTGACCTTGTGGCATTTGTTGTCTCCCTTTTTTTTTGTTATTCAAACAAAATTATTGTCGTATGTTACATTCTACTCCCTTTGTCTCGTATTAATTGTCGTTGAAACAAATATATCAGTGACATTTAATATGAAATACAGAATCAATATGACTGCATGCCTATGTACACACATATATTTATCCCTATAAATACACACTTTCATATCTTATTTGTGAGCATCTCCGAGATACTAAACCGGCACAACATCTTAAGATGATGAAGTCGTTATAGACGCCTTTATACTTGATGGGAGCGTCTCTTTTCATTTAATGAACATCTTCGAAAAGTTTAAAATATATCTAGAAAAATACGAGCATGATGCTAAGTTTAGCACTTGAACAAGGAACGTAATCACTTGAGATACGGCTAGTTGGCGATTTTTACATTCTACTATATACTAGTTGTGGCATTGTCCAGCTTTCACTTTATATTGTTATTGTTTTCAAACTAAAAATCTATATCCATCTGCTAGGAGCAAGTGTTGGTTATGTATTCATGAGGTGTTAGGTAGAATATACAATTGCATTGAATTCTTTGAAACTGAATCGTTGTCGAATTTGCACAGCTTAGAGAAAACTATAGCCGCCTCTCGAATCGCTCTTGGGCAACTGCGAAGGCACCATTGCCCCCTAAAAAAGTTCCTGCACGGCCACCAAACCCTACCGTTGTCGCTAGAGAAGGTCGGTCCATAGGAGGCAACGACGGTGGGGTGTGCCCACCAGACACACATACTCTTTGTCTCTACCCCTCCCTCTTTCTCTGGCCATCCTCGACCCTAGCCATTCACAGCTCACTTGTCACAAACACATTCCTCCCATTGTGTGACCGGTGCTTGACGTTTGCCAGATGCGTGCGCCCACTTTCCACCATATCCGCGTACACTCGGTGACCATCGCGACTCGGGACTGCTAACACGGTAGTGGTCTGGCAACTGCTGCCTAGCCATCTTGACCTTCCATCGAACTGCGGTGACATGGTTGTTAGGGGGCGCCCCTCAAAATCTGTGCATGCACCTTACTGGTGCTAAGGTGTCGTCTGCATGCATGAGAGCATGGTTAATAGTATAGCCAATAACCGACTATATAAAGTTGTCACGTCATCTATAGTAAACCTAATATTCAACATATACAATAGCTAGTTACAAAGAAGTACTACTTTATTAACTAGATGATGCCCCGCACGTTGCTGCGGGAACTCTTTGTCCTACCTACGTGATAATACATAACTTGAATAACTTTGTGTGCATAATGGATATATGATACTTTTTGTGTGTATTATGTGAATCTTGTTGTAAATCAATCTTCTGCATTTTAGTACATAGGTGCCAAATATAGCCAAGTAGTTGTTACATAAGTTCATACCGGCAAGTGTAATAACAAATACTGGTATTTGCACGTAAACATAATATGAGATAACAGATAGTGGAAATGAAGGTCGAGAGAAATTGACAGTACCGGGTCGTTGTCTTTGTTAAACAAAGAAAATCTACGATAGCTTATATAGCTGATCATTAGTGAGAACTGCTACTTCCTCTTTTGAAATGAAAAAGGGGTTGTTCTGAGGCAAAGCTAATGCAAATAGTAGTGGCTGACATTTAGTAGGAAGGAATGATAGTGTCCTCAGGCTTCATCTTGCAAATGATAGTAGAGAAAGCTAGACAAAAAATATTAGAATGAGCTATAATTAATCAGAGGACTATGCAAGCTATACATCAAATAGATGGAATACCGTGATTGGACACAAATCAGTAACATTGTGAGTGTAGATAGCGAAGATAGCACTTCACAACGGAGAGATCCAATTGATATTGCAAATGACGAAGATAGAAGAAGGAGCCTGCAAGAAACAATGATTGTAAGTGCCAGCAACATATTTGTCACCTGCTACTTGAGCAGGAAAAGGGTGATACATAGATGGAGAGAGGAAAATGGAATTTTCAAGCATTAAGGCAATCAGAAAGTGTACTACCGAAAATTAAAATGTATAGTGGAAATAACACCTCCTGATCTATCAAATGCTTAATTGAAAAACTAATGGCACTACTGGTTTTGATTCAGGGCTTCAAAACCTGTGTGGAACCATTTACTAAGCAGCATGTGTACTAATTTAGATAGCACAATTTGACAAATATCCAAAAGAGCAAACTGTCTAGATGGAGTGTTTGTTTCTGCTATGCAACATCAAGTACGATGAAGAAAAAAAGGTTATCTACCAAGGTTAGTACCTTTCTTTCCTTGGTTCCCAAGGGTGGTATATATCTCCTAGAACAAACAAAGATAATTCATTGTTTTACCTGAAAAGTGATAAAGGCCATCTGTAAAGGTAGAATCTGGAAAATTATCTCCCAAGACAGGAAGAAAATGAATACGCGAGGAATCATTATCTAACAAATAGTCCTTTGCATGGCAATGTTTGCGCGTTCTTTCTTCAGTAGGGAATCGCTGGAACAAAAATATTTATTAATAAGGACATTCATGCGTCTATGTGCCTAAGAAATAACAATGTGCAAACCATGAAGGATAACCTCACAATAAATTAGTAAAATAGTAGGGTAGAGTTATGATTTATGAATGGAGCCTTGGATGAATTTGTACATCTCAATATCAATCAGATGGCGTGAGGAAGCTACTACATACATAATGGCACTACTATGAGCGAAAATATACATGCAGGATGCAAAATAAACAGCCAATTCTTTTTTTCCTGTTACCGGGGGCATACGCGGGTAAATTATGTGAACTTTAGGGGCAAATTCCGTGACATACGACCAGAAACCCAGTTTTCTTTATTATTAGGTAAAGATAAAGATATATTGTTATGTTGAGATACTTGGCGATTAAGGTAAGAGATATCGGTTCATGGGCGAGGTCATCGGCACCATCGAAGGAAAGGAGATGCGCGCCAGTGGATGGTGATGTAGGTTCCCTGCTCCATGGGGCGGGTGGAGTACAGCTGAGGGCCCGTCTCCGCTAGATTCCGGCCAGAGCAGTGGATCGGCGGCGACGGTGCGCAACGCCATGGGTCGCTGTTCAAGGAGGGGCCGCAAATCCGCCTGGGCAAAGTTTCAGCGTACCTGCATGTGAAGACGATGGTGCTAACGTGCAGGTTCTTCAGGTTCTAGCTTGTGGAGGGCCACCCCGTCAAATATGGAACCATGGACATCTCTCTACGCACGCCCTCAACGTCCGCGTCTCCAGATTGCTTGATTGTGAAGAGTTAAGATACTCAGCCAGTCAGCCGTAGAAGATAAAGAGATTCATGGAAAATCGATTAACCTGCAATGACATTAGATCAGATGAGTAGTTCCGGGGCATCATAGCAGGAGAGAGAGAGAGAGAGAGAGGTGGGATTGGGAATCACACCGGGTAATACGCCGAATCTTTTGGACACCATCTTGGGGTTGAAATATGGACTTTTGCACAAAAGTATATGCATTTTTTTGTCTCTGTTCTTGTTTTAGTTCTGTTTATGGTTTAGTTTACTGAAAAACAGGTAGAGTTTGCACAACTGGAGTTTGTTCCCACCGTTGGATGCTAATCCGATCGAAAAGGAAAGAAAGTGACTGAACCGGCTAAATATTTCAGTCGTGTGACCGGAATGTTGTCGCTCCCGTTGCTACTAGCGACTCTCCTCGCGCCGCACCTCTCTGTTCAGGATGAAGATCGCCTCACCGCGATTCTCGTTATGCAGCGCGCCACAGGTCGAGCCCTCACCCAAAGCTTCGTCATGGCAACCCTCTCTTGTTCCCTGATGATTATGCGTCACTTACTCCGTCTCCACGAAGGCGGCAAGACGGGGTGTACGCTGGTGCCCGTGAGGGTCCTCGGGCGTGAGCCGTGAGCGAGCCACCTTCCCCCGCCAGTCAGGTCAGCGTGATGTGCCGTCTCTGGTCTCCTAAGACGGCTGCCACTAATTTTCAATGCTCACGTGGGTTCTCTCTTCTTGTTACATACTCCCTCCGTTCTGAATTACTTGTCTTGGATTTGCCTAGATACGGATGTATCTAGACTCATTTTAGTGCTAGATACCTCTGTATCTAGACAAATCTAAGACAAGTAATTCGGAACAAAGGGAGTAGTACTGTACGTCTAGAAGCTGGCAGTTGCTGCCTGATTTGGTTAGCACATATCCTGCTTAGCTCGCAATTCTGCCGCAACAAGCCTTCCTGAAAAGAGAAGAGCATGGTCAAGGAAAGCTGCCGAGCAAAGCAAATGACTCCCAAGTCACCATCATTTTTCCATGGCTCATGAAAAGAACGGCTGAGCTGCCCTTCCTGGACATTCTTTCACAGGCTGGGAGGCTGGAGGTGGAGTGGTTCACAACGCAACCGGTGATAGATAAGTTTCAGCACGTGTCCCTTTCCTGTTGGCAATACAAAGTCACTCTCTGCAACGTCCGGATATTGACGTCCAGGACCGCAAGCACCAGCAGTCTGCAATTTCACCAGCCTCCTACCCCCTGCTCTGTTGGGTTCTTTGTTAGTTAGCACTCTTCTCTTGCAGGAACTCAAGATGGAGCTAGCAATATCTGCAGTAACAGGTGAGCTCGTGAGCCGATTCGTCTCCTACCTCGCTGACAAGTACCGCTCGAGCCGCCGTGCAGAGTCAGGAGAGACACAGTTGAGGAGGCTGCAGCAACTCCTCCCCAGAGCCCGCTCCGTCGTTGAGGAGGCAGATGGGCGGTACATCACCAACTCCGGGATGCTGGCGCAGCTCAACATGCTCACGGACGCCATGTACCGAGGCTACTGGGCGCTAGGGGCCTTTGGGTACATGTCCCTTGAAGAGACAGAGACTAGTCCCATGGAGGTTAGCAGCTCATCTCCCCGCAAACGTCTCCGCACGGTTCATGGCAGTGCTAGGAAGAACAAGGCCATGTACCTTGCCGACCTTCAAGGTGTGGTGGAGAGCTTGGAGGATGTCGTTGCTGGCTTGACGGAGTTTGTTGTTCTTTTGAGTGGATGCGACCGTATGCTGCGTCGACCATATGATGCGTATCTTTACAATGACACCATCATGTTCGGACGCCACACCGAGAAGCAAAAGCTCCTGAACTTCATGTTGCAGCACAGTTCAAGCTCGCCTGGTGGAACGCCGGCTGTTCTCCCGATCATCGGTGCTCCCGCGGTCGGGAAGAGGACTCTGGTGGCCCATGTATGCAAGGACGAGAGGGTCAGCTCACATTTCTCCTCGATTCTGCACCTGAATGGAGACTCCTTCCGCAGAATCGCAGACCATGACCGGAGCTTCTTGCGAGGGAAGATAGTGGTCGTTCTTGAGCTTGTCGCAGACGTCGACGAGAAGGATTGGGCCGAGTTCTGCTCAACCTTGGCAAGCATGGATAGTGGAAGCAAGGTGATCATCATCAGCCGGCTTAGAAGTACAGAGCGATTCGGGACAGTGCGGCCGATCTTCCTTAACACCCTGTCATACGAGGAGTTCAGCTACCTCTTCAAGACACTCGCATTCGGGAGCGCGAACCCGGCGCATCACCCGCAGCTGGCACGGATTGCAGATGAATTGGCCGAGGAGTTCCGCACGGAATGTTCGCTCGTCGGCACAAACATATTCGCGGATGTGATGAGGAGGAATCTGAACGTCCATTTCTGGCTCGGCATGATGAGCAGGCTGAGAAGATTTGCTGAGAGGAACGTCTCCATGTTTGGGGAACACCCGAGGTTGCTCGTCGAGAGACGCCATCAGATAGATGTTACGGACTTCGTCTTGCATCCTGCTGCTTCTCCGCTCCGCATCGTGCCTTCCTGCACCAGTGGCAGCAGCCGCACTGAGGTTACAGCGGAGAGGGCATCGCTGCCGAGGGTGAGGCTTGGAGATCTTGTGATGGATCCTGGAGTTCGGCCGCAAGGGGATTTCAATGTGGTTTCCTGGGAATCAAGGTTGCCTCCTTACACTTCATTTGTACATTTTGTTCCAAATGGAAATTGTGCTCCAGGTTTGGCGAAACAGAGTACTCCCCTGTCTGGGAGGAAGCGTCCAGCAGTTGCTTTGTAAGGCCTTCTGATTAGAATGATTTTTACTGGGATTCTGTAGAGTTGAAATCTCTAGTACTCCCCCAGTTCATGATTAAATAGAACTTAGATATTGACACAGTCTCCCATATGTATCTTTAACCTTTGTCTTCAAGCTTGGAATTTATATTATGAAGAAAACATGACAAATTAATTTTTGTACATATCTGTAGTCAAAGTTAGAAAATGTTGAATACAGGCCTTTCTTGGAAGTCATGCATTTATGAAAAGTATTTTGTGTGTGTAAGATGTTTGATTTGTGGCTGGGACTGTCAGTTTTATCCAAAGAACCCTTTGTAACATTT